AGCAAAGGGTCTGAATACTTATGACCATGTGATATTTCAGTTTTTCTTTTTTAATAAATCTGCAAAAATGTCAAAAATTCTGTGTTTTTCTGTCAATATGGGGTGCTGTGTGTACATTAATGAGGAAAAAAAAAGAACTTAAATGATTTTAGCATATGGCTGCAATATAACAAAGAGTGAAAAATTTAAGGGGGTCTGAATACTTTCCGTACCCACTGTAGATATCATCAAAACTGACAATAATCCAAACAATGGGCCAGGCGACAAGCGGTGTGTGGACATGAAGCCTGAGGGCCAGTCCTATTTTAATGCAAAATGTCTCTACTTACAAAGGGACTTCAAAGGATATTCTGGTTGTATTTATTTTATGAAGCCACCTAGACCACTGCTTATCTTCTCTTTAGCCTTTGGTGTTCAAGATCTTTTACGATCTTTTTGTGCAATCACAGCTCTTCTAACAGTGACTATAGAGGCTGCATGTTTGCTTTCCAGTGGGGACAGAGTGATCATAGCAGCATCCCTGCACTATGATGTTATGCGAGTACTCCATTACCACACACACAACCATCCATCCATAGTTATTATTCACTTTTTTTCTCCCCGGCAGGTGTAGGGATGTCATATGTGATCACTCCTAACTCCTTCTTCTCAGGTTTAGCCTTTTTCTGACGGGGAGAAAAAAACACAGAACACATAGATTAATTGCCATCAAGCAGTTTATATGTGAAAATTGATTCTGTTAATATCTGAACATTTCTATATTTTCAACTCTGTACTAATGCACTTCCTTACAGGAACTTCTGTTTTTAGATGTTGATTATTTACCTCTGTTGGTGGCTGCGTTTTCTTCTTTGCCTCTATTTCTTTCTTCTGGTTGAACTTTTCCAGTTTTTCTCTCTTCTTCGCTTCCTTCTTCAGCTGGGCTTCAGTTTTTGGAGGACCTGAAGAAAGAGACACATCAGAACATCAGAATAGTGTTTACACAAAAAAAGAACTATTCATGAGCTGTGGCACAGATCTCCCTGACCATTAGCTGTGGCGCTGGTGGGGTCAGCAGCAGGACTGCCATTAGCAGCTTCGGCATCTGTAGCAAGAGTTGTGTTTGCTGCAATTGGCACCATTTTCTCACACAGAGTGATCTTCCCCAGCACCTTTAGGAACTGTGGCTGATTAATGCAGGTTGTAAACCACCTGGTAACATTGGTCAAGACCTTCCTGTCTGATGGCTCCAATGCCTAAAAATAATCAAATATATAATTATAATGTGGCTTATTGATTTATATCATGGTCAAAACTTGCTAGGCAGCATTAATGACTGAGATTCATCCATCCATCCATCCATCCATCAGTTTATCCTTTCAGGTTTGGGGGGCTGGAGCCTATCCCATCTGATATTTTGCAAGAAGTGGACTAAACTCTGGACAGATTCTCAGTGAAATCACAGGGCTTGGCTGAGATCTCTCAATGCTAAATTGTTTAAGATAATAAATCAGGCTAAGTGTTAAGGGGCAACTACTTGGAAACATCTGTAGGATGGCAAAGTGTTGCACAACATACGTACATATTTGAAAGGTAGAAGAACAGCTGTAGCTACAGCCACATCAGCCAGGGTGATGCTTTCTCCCACCAGGAACGTTCTTGGTTCTAGTGCCCGATTGAGAACCTTCAGAACACGTATCAACTCCACACGAGAACTCTGCTGAAGCTGAGAGCACAAGTTAAAAAGACATCTAACAAGATTAAAATCATACACAGGTCCAAATCCATGTAAGCATTGGGATACCCCGCTCACCTTTTTATCCACACCTATCATCCCCATTAGTGAGAAGACCACAGCACCAGACACTGGGGTGAGCTCGTTGTCAGCAAAGCTGAGCCACTGCCACACTAGACTCTGCTGCTTTACATCTACACCAGCTATCTTCCCCTGAAGGGCCAGGTACCAGGCTACAGCACTGGCCCCACTCAGGACGCAGTCACCTTCCCCAGCGCCCAGCACCAGGATGGGCCTGGAGCGGGCATTCAGAGATGCAGGAGGGTCCTCTGTCACGGTCCGAGGGCGAGAGGACCGACAAAACTCAGCAGTTATGAGAGCCAGAAGGCTCCTGAAGTCATCGGGGTGGGGGGACACGTAGAGAGTGGCCATCTCTGGCTGCGATACAAGAACGTTGTACAATGTTAACCGACTCCAACTTGTGCCCATTGTATTTTCTTTTTGCGGTCAGTGCTACACAGCAAATATGTCCGTCGTGCTTTAAAATACATTGTGTCTGATAGTGGCATTAAAGATAAAGTTAATTAGGGTTAACGTTACAACCTTCTTGGACGAATGGGTTTAAAGGTTATTTACCGACTGTAACTTTAAGTATCTTATAATGTTACTGACCTACACGATCGTTTATGTTAGCTGGTAAGCGATCTGTTTCACTTTCTGCTAAGCAGGTCTCTGCCACCTGTCAAAGGCTGATGAAAAGTGTGGCCAGACTGGTTTTAGCTACCGCACAAACTAAACTCAAGTTTTCTATCTCTACGGGTATCGTTAGGCGTCTTTACGTACGTAGTCACTGTTTCACACATGTTCTGAATGCATTGTTTAAAACCCTATGGCTTTTTAGTAAAAATCGTATAACAAGTTAGTCATACCTTTGAATGAAACACAAACAAGCGTCAGCCGAAGTTAGCAAACAGAGCAGCGGCACAGGAATGCTCTCGCCGCATTCTGCGATCTGATGCAACGATGCTACAGATGTCTTCCGGGTTTCTTCTTCATTGATGTTAATGTAGGGCTAGAAACCAACTTGCATGCCAACCAAAGTGCATGTCGACACCTACTGTACTGGAGTATGTAACATCTAGGGGTATTGCTAGACAAAGCTCTACTGGGGCACAGGACTCTCATAACTCAAATCACACAATTTGTTTCTTGAATTTTAATGCTTAGCCCACTATTCCGCTGCCTGCTGCTACTACAACAACTAGTGATAAAGGTAAAAATATGGAGATGTTAATCTTTATGAAAATATTTATTTCAACATACATTAAGAACATTATCAATATGTTATTATAGCGGAAAGGTCTGCAAATTTTTGCATTCGTCTGCATTTCACAATAATAACTAATTTGTCTGCCAAGCAGCCTGTTTGTCTATCAACAAATCATGAATTTAAAAAATCAATCTAATCATATTTTGTAACTTGTAAAAGCCACAAAACATATCAGTTCTCCAATTTAGTTTGTTACCTCTCATATCTAGTCATAGTTTTGAATATGCATGAATTCTTTAAGGGGCAGCACGGTGGCGCAGTGGTTAGCACCGTTCCCTCACAGCGAGAAGGTTCCGGGTTCGGGACCCTTCTGTATGGAGTTTGCATGTTCTCCCTGTGCTTGCATGGGTTCTCTCTGGGTACTCCGGCTTCCTCCCACAGTCCAAAGACATGCAGCTCTAAATTGTGTGTGTGTGTGTGTGTGTGTGTGTGTGTGGTTCGCCTCTGTGTTGGCCCTGCGATGGATTGGAAACCTGTCCAGGGTGTACCCTGCCTTCTCCCGATTGCTGGCTGGGATTGGCTCCAGTGACCCTGTTCAGGGACTAAGCGGTAGAAAATGAATGAATTCTTTAAGGGTGCATGGTGATTCATTTTTATGAAAGCATGAATTATACATGGCATGTTTAATATTTCCATAACAGTTCAGAATTGCAATGCTAACAAATAGTTAGTAAACATTGTCATGTAATTTAATGAAACAACAAGAAATAAGGTAAACAATTTTTTTGAAAAATAAAAAGTATATAAAGTGCATTTTCAAAAGTATTGCAAGTAATGTAAAAGGATTTTAATTAACAAAAACTATGTTCAAACAATTATAGAGAACAGATATGATGCAGAAAGGCTGAGGCAGCCTGAGAGGAGGGTTTTACTGAAGCTATAAACACACTGCATTCACCAAAAAAACTTTAGACCTTATCTACAAGGTCTCAATTCATAATTTATTTATTCAATTTAATAATTGATGCCGTTTTGCTGTTCTTTTGACTCTGTATTTAATGAATGGTCAAAGCCGTCACAGTGCTCCATTTTTAATTGTTGCCTTTAGCTTTTTGCAGTGTTTTGTTTTTCCCTTAATAACTGTAACTTGTGATAACATGAGCTGTAATGCCTGGAGACTGAAAAGAACCCTGAATTTTATGGCCATTTTAAAGCTCCAACAGTCACATTATTAAGACTTTGACGACTCCTGGGGGTACTAACGCAAGCTCTGCACACTGGTAGGTAAATGTTTTTTTAAAACATTAAGGTAAGATGAACAACTATGATGGCTATATGGAAATATTGGTATATACTGTGGCAGTAAAACAATCAGATGACAACGCAACAGGAACCCAATGTTAAAAATAATGTATTTCTACTTAAGGCAAATTTATCATAAGTTAACATTCATGAAATGATTAGTTTCATGTGTGTTTGTGTTTTGTTTCTAACAACCAGATTTTTGAAGGACTTTCTATACAGGTCATTAATGTTACACATGGCCAATTAATGTTTGAGCCTGAGCTTGTCATCTGTTTAAGGGCAGCAACTAATTGTGTTCATTATCAATTAATATGCTAGTTATTTTCTTAATTAATAGATTAATTGTGATCCAAAAAATGCCTTCGTTGTGATGATCAACAGTTCAAAACTGGAAGAAGTTTGTCATTGTTTAGTTTATCATAAAAGTCTAAGAAAACCAGCAAAATATTAACATACAATAAGCTGAACCTAGAGATATTTTCTTGGCATTTTTGCTTACAAAATGAATTAATTACTCAACAAAGCAGCTTCATTTTCTGTAAATCAGTCCCCCAACTCATCATATACAGTCTTTCATTGGATAAAGCTCAGGGATGATGCCAACAAAAGCTTCCTTTTTGACAGTAACTTTATTCGGTTTCAGTATTATAGCTTAATGCAATGGACACAAACTGATAGCAAAGGTCTCGGCCTCCTCTAAAGAATTTTCTTATGTTCATCCACAGAAGTCACTAATGTTTGAGTCAAAAAAGATCCTTGGTAATATTCAAAAACTTAAGTAAATGTGATTTTAGTGGGGCACAGTAGATCAACACTGGGGCAGTAAAAGGGGCCTTACAATTCCTATGGTGACATTATTACTCTGCTTGGGTGCTAATATTCTATTAGACCTGTTTCCTTGAAATATTTTTATATGGCCTTTTGTACCTGTGCTTGTTTGTCCCCTATCTCCAACAGGAACTTCATGCTCCATTTCCTTCCTTTAGCTATCACCCTGTTCTTTAGTGTGAAAATATGTTCAACTGTTTCCTTGTACATTCATCTGCATTTGTCTTTCCAATAATGAACAATGTAACATTGATTCCGGTGTTTCCTAATCTTAACCTGGAAAAAAAATACATCTTCTATTTTATATTTAATACTGCTACTTTTTACTTTGACAAATTGTTGAATTCTGTGATAATCTCTTCCTTTGCTATTGATTGCTACATATTAATGACAATAATATACACAGAAGGAACTGGTGCATGCTACAGTAATATCCTGCATTCTCTTTTATTCAAATGTACAGATGCAACAATTATCATACAAGACTAGCCTTGAACAATTTCATCCAAAAGCAGAGTGCACAGTGTTTTTCTAATCAGAGTTGATTATCAGATTCAGCAGGTTATTTGGACAGCCAGCTTTCCACAGTGAAGTGTAAAGACCTCAAGAAATTCATTACATTTAATTTCAAAGTGTAGCCTTTGTGGTGAAGAAATTTACAAACCAAAAGTGGACAGAGTTTGTTATTGATGGCCTCAACTGGTCCTTTCCTCGTTCACTCTGACTGCTGCTCAAATGGCTCTGTCACATCACCAGTGAACATATACACCACCCCTGTTATTAACTCCTTCCCTAGCTTAAACACATTGCCAACTCCATTTCCACTTCTCCAGGCCAGATTCCCCAACCCTCCACCTACAGCTTGGGCCTGACACCCCATCTCCGACACCACTGTTCCTACATAATCCTCACTTTGCTCCCACAGCCACCCTCCAAAGAACCTGGTTAGCCACCAAGCATTATCCAGTGAATCACTAAATATTCCCACAGTGTCACCAGCCAGGGTCCCTATGCCGGTGACCCCAGTGTGGCAGCTGCTCATCAGGGCTCCTAGCATGGAGGAAGTGCAGTATTGGACGCTGGAGAAGCAGGTGTCCCCAATATCAAGTGTCATTTCTGCAGCTGAGCCCATCCAGGACAGGAGGTCAGAGGTCAAGAGGTAGAGCACGGAGAAGGTATCTCCAGGCAGGGTACAGAGAACTCCAAGGTCTTCCTGAAGAACATAAATCACCTAAATCAAGATAAGACAAAAGTGTAATTTTTAAGTGGGATTAAAAAATATTTTTAAAACCGTGAATAAAATAAATACCTGAGAGAACATTGTGAGCTCTGAGTTAATACATTCTACTGGTCACACCTCATTCCAGTCTCAGGTGGAGGAGCAGACTGGAATGAGATCTACTGAACACCTCTGAAACAGTGTTTAAGATGCCAAGTATTTCTAATTACCAAGTATTTTGCCTGTTGCTTTTCAAATTAAAGGGGAATTTCACAAGTTTTACACATAAAGTTGTATAAGCTCTTTTTAGTTCTGAAGCTGCTTTTAAAATGTGACCTAATAACACTGAGGATGTCATCAGGAAGACCTCTGCCTTGCTGAAAATACTCAGTTTAAATGTAACTAAAATGGATGTCAAGATAGTTCAGTATATTGTCACACCTGTCCAAGTAATTGTGTTAAGGTAGAGACCACAGACCGTACAGGAAAGGTAAGGATGGAAAAGGTGGTGGAGAGGATGTAGACCAGAGTGCTGCTGGAGTTTGAGTCTGTCTCCTGTTCGTGCACAGTCTCATAATCACATGAAGAGTCAGGAGAATGTGATCTGACAGCTCCTGAATGCCTCATATCATGCTGCTCTTTACTGCTGCTTACTGATTTCACTGCATTGGCTGAAGCTCCTTGTGTGACTTCATCAGCTTCTTCTTCCTCCCCCAGACTGACTGTTGGGCGCCCCTCACTGTGAAGATCTATGACAGTTCCAACAGCCTCAGCATCTGCTCCTTGGCATCCTTTGGAGAACAGCTCTGTCACTCCCAGTATCTCCTCTAGCTCCTTCACACTCACTTGCCTCTCCCCTTTTCCTGTCTCACTGATTAACCCAATGCTAAAGCCACCCTTCCCCTCTGGGACAGCACAGCAAACTGCAGACCACAGTGGCTTCATCTGACACTCTTCAGCAGCCCCAAGATGTCCCACTCCAGTTAGAATGTAGAGGTCACCCCCTAGAGCGCTGCATTGTGGGGTGATGCTTGACTGGACCAGTGTTGTGACTGTTGAGTCCCAGTGTTGAAGCGGTGAGTCTGCAGCCAAGACAGGATGAGATGGATCCCTGCTTCCTCTGAGGAGAGCGGGCACTGCTACTTTAATGTCGCCTTCATCCGCCTGGAAGGAAAAATAACTGAAACCAGCTGTTAAGGTATGATGACTGTGTCACCTGGCCAATACCTCAGGTAGTTTTCAAATATGAAATAATACATTTTATTTCATCTTTAATTTCCAAACATTCAGAAGTTCTTTGGTCATATTAAATGAGTCTGTATAACATTTGAAAAATTGAACAGTTGAAAGATGCATTGTTCCTGTTTTACCGTTTTAATTTCTTGAGGAATTAAAAGGTTTAAAACAAAAATCCAGATTTTTGGATGGTTTGTTGGTCACTTAACAGTTTCTCTGGTTTTATGTATTCCATTTTCAAACCCAGGGACTTGCAATAACAGTAGTAGAAGACGTTTTCTTATCTGTTACCTAAGTAAAACTACAAAAATGTAACAACCAAAATACTATATATTTCATACAAGTAAAATTGATGTAATCAAAATCATACTTAATTAAAAGCCTTTGCTAAGGGCTGTCCGGTCCCTGTATGACTGGAGCAGGAGCTTGGTTCGCATTGCCGTCAGTAAGTCAGACTTGTTTCCGGTGCATGTTGGATTCCGGCAGGGCTGCCCTTTGTTACCGGTTCTGTTCATTATTTTTATGGACAGAATTTCTAGGCGCAGCCAGGGGCCAGAGGGAGTCCGGTTTGGGGACCACAGGATCTCGTCTCTGCTTTTTGCAGATGACGTTGTCCTGTTGGCTCCATCAAACCAGGAGCACCAGTGTGCACTGGGGCAGTTTGCGGCTGAGTGTGAAGCGGCTGGGATGAGAATCAGCACCTCCAAGTCCGAGGCCATAGTTCTCA